GTTGTGGGTTGTTCTTGATCGAATGAAGGTTTTGGGTTTGGCTTAGGCTTCAGGGTTTAGGGGTTTGTTGTGGGTTGTTGTTGATCGAATGAGGGTTTTGGGTTTGGCTTAGGGTTCAGGGTTTAGGGGTTTGTTCTGGTTTGGATCGAGGAAGACTGATCTTCGAAGGACTGGGTTTCGGCTACGTTTTGGTATGGGCATTGACTGGGGCGGTTGGGACATACAGCGGGCTTTGAAGTTCGAGTTTCTTGTTGTTGTTTAATGAGGCATCGGGGGCTTTGATTCTTATGGCTTATAGGGTTTAGCTAGGGGTTTAGAGGTTTAAGGTGCTCTGACCTAGGCACTATATGGGTTCGAAGGTTGAAGTACTGGTCCTTTTCATCGCGGCAACGGTATGTCATCTTGTGGACACAACGTAGACACAGAATGGACCCTCGACATGATAACTCGGCACCCCTTCACCACCAGTAGCCTTGTTAAGGCATCGCGGGTGGCTCTGCCATTTGTCGATGAGTGATGCCTCCATAAATGCGGCCCCTTCTGTAGAGGCAAGAATACCAACAACTCTCATTTCAGCAAAGCAAGGGTTTGAAGAGTGCACATACCCATAGCCAGTGTTGTGCCATCGATGAACCGGGCTGGACGAAAGGCCGATTTTAAAGTAAGCACCAGCATCACTCAGGGATCGGATGACAATGTTCGCTCGTTGAAGGATGTGGCTCGCAAGGGTTTGTGTTGGCAGCAAGTCTAGCTTCAAAGAAGGATCGGCCATGATGTCTTGGATAAGGCCCTTCAGGCGAGGCAGTTCAGCCAGGTGCTTCGGCACCCGAAGCTTCCAATAATTATCTGAAACCAAGCGAACAGCGGATCCATTCTTCTCCACAACAGCATCCCGAGGATGCACGGCAACGGTGACGGGGATCTCGAGATCGTCTGGCGGTGCCACCAATCCTGCAGAGGCCGAGCACTAAAGAACAGTTCTGACCCCTTATATTATGAAGTGAGTTTAGGGTTTAGGGTTTAGGGTTTAGGGTTGCCACACCCCAGGAAAACAACCCACACATGAATATGATGCAGCTAAGAATCTCCTTCGCTGCTTCTCTCTACCGTAAGCCAGCAGCTCTGTTAACCAAGCTTCCGAATCGTCGAAGTCATCGGGATTGGGCCCAGATGAAGACTGGCTAGTAGAATCTGATAAACCCAAGCCGTCGCCGGCGCATGGCATGCATGCACTATGTACCACAAACCGGAGGGCTGTACAGCCTAGCTGGCCCTGCAAAGCCACAGAACTTCGGAGTGCTCAAGCCCTCCACAGCCACATTGGGAGCATGCGTGGACAGAGAGAGCGAGAGAGCAACAGAGAGATAACTCATGTATGTATATGCACGAAAGTGTACATTTGTCTATCTCTGTAGACATGCAAGCACAGGTCTATCTAGTCACCCAGATACACACATGTACATATACATATGCATACACGTATACACAGACACACATAGATACATATACATACATACACATACAT